GTTATGTTGAAAGAATAACTACATCTGCAACAGTCTCTCACTCAGAATAAGGAAATCTGGAAGTATATTCTGCTCTTTAATCTGTATATATGAAATACATGAGATTCCCTTTATGTAATTTTCAGAAGTTGAAAAAGAAAAAGAAAAAAGGAAGCAAATACCTATGAAGGTACTTCCAAAAGTGTATGGAAAATGGGCATTTGGCCTAGTGGTTCAGACACTGTCGGTTTGCTCATGCCCTGATTCCAGCTTCCTTTGAGGAGAGGAGGCAGCAGGTGGTGTGGCTCAAATGATGGCGCCTCTGACACTCATGTACAAGGCTGAGACGGAGTTCTGACTCCCGACCTTGGACCAGCCTGACCCTCGCCATTGCAGGCACTAGGGAGTGAACCAGCAGGTGGGGATCTTGTCTCTCTCTGCCTCCCAGTTAATTAAAATATTAGTTAATTTTAGTGCAAAAATAAAGACTTTTGAACACTATGCAGTGTTTTCATAATACTCATTTTCCACGTCTGTTTTGGAAACCATGAAATAATAACCATAAGAAAGCCCTGGACAGTGACTCATGGGGTCCCCTGGTGGTGAGTTGATGGCATCAGAAAGAGGATGTTGGCCATTTTCTCAAAAATAAGGCAGAATCAGTCAAATTACAGTTAGGGAGGCAGCATTTTGCAGTGCCTGAGAGTCCCATATCTCATAATCCTGTTTGCCCAAATCCTCAATTGATGACCCTGGGCAAGATCTTTCACATTTCTGCACTTCAGTTCCTTCATCTGTAAAAGGAGGATTCAGTCATATGCAGCCCCAGAGGGCGGCTTTGGGAATTACATGTGGTACCCTAACATGTTTAAATACTACAGTGTCTGGCAGTTAACAATCGCCTTATAGATGTCACTGCTACTCTCTGAGAAGGTTTGAGAATTTAGCACTGCAAAAGCATGTTGTTTTAAGTGGGACCTGCCATGCAAACCTGCTATTCTGTTGTTAGAGTTCCTCACTAGGTTTTCCATAACAGCAGAAATATGCCTGCATTGGGTATATAAATACAATTATCAGCTTCTAAGACATTAAGGAAATGGATTTTCCAGATCTCCCATAGCACAGAGAGCAAGCTTTGCTAAACAAAATATGTGGACTAAGGAAAAGGGCTGAAACACACTGACTTGGTGTCCTTGGGAGACAAGGAAACACAGTGGGAGAAAGAAGCTTCTTAATGGGGGAGTATAAACCAAGGAAACCAAGAAAAAATTCATACAATTCTCTTCTTGTCACAGTGGGGGAGAAGCATGAATTCTGTATTTTAGAAATTTGGCTACTTCTGTTGATTTTGTTCCTAATAAGCCTGGTCACCACTGATTCTCTAACTGACATCTTCCTAATTAGAGGACTGGCTAAAATAATCTGTAAGTGTCTTTACAAGTCTCTATTCACATAGCCGTCTTCAGGCCTGAATCATTGTGTTTATAGTAACCTAGCACCCATTTGACAAAGATGGTTTCCTCTCTTCCTTTAAGGTTTATTTTGTATTTATTTGAAGGGCAGAGTTACAGAGAGAGAGAGGAGGAGAAACAGAGATAGATCTTCCCTTCACTAGTTAATCCCCAAGTGGCCACAAATGCTGGGGCAGGGCCAGACTGAAGCCAGGAGCCAGACTTTTCCAAGTCTCCCACATGGATGCAGTTGCCCAAGGACTTGGGCCATCCTCGGATGCTTGCACATTCGCAGGGACCTGGTTCAGGTGCGGAGCCACCGGGACACAAATTGATGCTCCTATGGGAGCTGGCACTGCAGGTGGTGACTGTGCCGCGACACTGGCTGCAGATTGATTCCTTTCTTGTCTGTACCAGACAGTGTGACATATCCAGGATACAGAGGAGATGTCTGATAAATTACTAGGGCGAACAAAAGGGAAGTATTTTCTGTGGCATAAAGGAAGCAGGTCCTATGACAAGCTCAGGAGAGACTATGCCCGGTATGGTTGCTGAGGGTGGGAGGTGACAGATTCAAGGAAAAATGTTTGACCTGAGAGGTGTGGGAAGGGAATCTCACTGGAATGTGTAATCGCTGTAGACTACAAATTTAAAAGAATTGAGAAAATTGTAAGGCACATGTTCCGTAACTACGTAGTTCAATTATATTCATGATGGACAGATTTAGGACTTAAGAGTACCCTATAATTTTGCACTTGATCTTAATCAAACAGAAAACCCAAAAGATGTGCATGGATACAATAAAGGAGGCACACCCAGGTGATAGGTAAGAGAAGATATGGAAGAGTATGCAAACCCTGTTCACGTTGAGTGGGACAGCAAGTCCAAGAAATAATTAGAAATATTAAGTAGAATTTATTTAATATTTGCTTGGTGCTAGGCTTGATGCAAAAAGCCCAAAAGAATTAGTTTACTGCGAGCTAAGAATAACACACACCTCTCATATTCATTTCATGAAACATAGTTGTATTTGCAGTTCATGTGTCAGAAAGTGAAGCTCAATTCTGAACTTCCCAAGGCTTGAGTGCTGTTCAATGGCTAACATGTGTCTCAAGCCCTGAGCTCTCCTATTTGCAGGCCACATTCTTACCTATACCTTTTTAAAAAAGATGTATTTATATTTGAAAGTCAGTTACACAGAGAGAGGAGAGGCAGAAAGAGAGAGAGAGAGACAGAGAGAGAGACACACACACACAGTTCTTCCATCCGCAGTTCTACTCCCTAATTGGCCGCAATGGCCAGAGCTGCGCTGATCTGAAGCCAGGAGCCAGGACCTTCCTTTAAGTCTCCCACATGGGTGCAGGGGCCCAAGGACTTGGGCCATCTTCTACTGCTTTCCCGGGCATAGCAGAGAGCTGTTGGAAGTGGAGCAGCCTGACTAGAACTGGTGCCCATATGGGATGCCGGCACTTCAAGCACTTCAGGTGTTAACCTGCTGCACCACGGTGCCGGCCCTTGTTTACTATAACTTTCACAATGAACTCAGATGGGTTCTCTCAGAAGAAACCCAGAGACAAGGTCTCAGGTAGCCTTGGGCATACTCCTTCAGAAGAAATTGAGTGGAGAAATGAGCAAAAACAGAATCATCACTTCTATGGGGCAGCGTGCTGTGGCTGGCGCACCGCGCTGATCCGAATCCAGGAGCCAGATGCTTCTCCTGGTTCCCATGCGGGTGCAGGGCCTAAGGACTTGGGCCATCCTCCACTGCACAGAGCGCTGGCCTGGAAGGGGACAGCCGGGGCTGAATCCAGTGCCCCGACCGGGACTATAACCCGGTGTGCTGGTGCTGCAGGTGGAGGATTAGCCTATTGAGCCGTGGCGCCAGCCTCAATGGCTTTTTTTTTTTTTTTGACAGGCAGAGTGGATAGTGAGAGAGAGAGACAGAGAGAAAGGTCTTCCTTTGCTGTTGGTTCACCCTCCAATGTCTGCCATGGCCAGCGTGCTGCGGCTGTTGCACCATGCTGATCCGATGGCAGGAGCCAGGTACTTATCCTGGTCTCCCATGGGGTGCAGTGCCCAAGTACTTGGGCCATCGTCCACTGCACTCTCTGACCACAGCAGACAGCTGGCCTGGAAGAGGGGCAACCGGGACAGAATCCGCTGCCCCGACCGGGATTAGAACCCGGTGTGCCGGCGCCGCAAGGACGAGCATTAGCCTAGTGAGCCATGGCACCAGCTTCAATGGCTTTTCAATGATACATTTTTATTTACTGTTAGATATAGATGGAATATCTAATGCTCTGCTCCAAAAATAGTCTCAAATCGCTGAGGTCTGATATTGGCAATGAAATTCTACAATATAAATAGTGTGATGACACAACTTTTGATTACACTTTAAGTGTCATCAGTCAGCCGATTGTCAAAGACCCTACTCTGCTGCCACTGATCCAACAAAAATTTACTGAGTGTCTGTTGTGTGTCAGCTACTCTTGGGTGTACTGTGGTTCACAAAATAGATATGGCCTGCACTCTCAAGAGACTCACCATAGAGCAGGAGGTAGTGTAAAAAGTAAATTAATATAAAAGTATAGACTATAGCAAGAGTCCTAAAGGAAATAGAGCCATTCTGTTTATAATATTGGGCAGAAAGAGGCTATAGAAGGCAAAACTCTCCAGGAAGATATCTTTGATGAGGTCATATTGATGCTGAAACCATGAAAAGTAAGATCCATCAGTGAAAGAATGCAAATGCAAGCAGGAAATGCAGAGAGACAGAGACAGAAGAGAGAGAACATTGCATAAGCACTAAAGTGAAAAGAACTTAGCATATTCAAGGAGCTGAGGACTAGCAGATGGAGAAGCAAGAGATACCTTAAGAGGATTGCACAGAAACGAGATCATCAATGACCTTACAAACCAGAGTAGGAGGCTTGAATGCCATTCCAAGGGTAATGGAACCATAGCTTTAAAAGGAGCAAGGATTCTCACGTTTGATTCAAAGACACTCTTGCTCTGTTTTTACGTTGGACTTTGGAGACTGTTTTGTTGAGTTTAGAATGAGAAGAAAGCAGAAAAATATGAAGTTCTCTATAGCTCAAGGTGGCATTATGCTAGAGAGTGAGGAAACAGGCAAGAGCGGAACAGAATATTTTTGATTTCAGTATTAATTATAGTGAGCCCTGTTTAACTCACATGAAACCCAGATGGTGCATGAGTGTCTTCTGTTCATTAACTCAGATCATGTAAAATCGCCTTGTTTCCATGGAGTTGTTAATCATAAATGCCTTTGCTCTTGGATGACTACTATATCAAGATACTGACAGCAGCATAATAAGGACGTATGGATGATGTCTAGAGTAACAAAACACTGGGAGTCCTGCACAGTCATTGAATAACCTATGCCTCCACTTGCATTCTTGATTAACAGGTAACAAAATAGAATTGTGGCTCAGCTAACATGTTCACCGCACACACTTCTAGCTCATACTGACAGTCCTTTTTTCCAGTCCTTTTTTCCAATCTACCTTCTTTCATTTTTCACAAATACCAGGACATAGTCAGGAATCAATGATGAGGAATTATACAGCACTAACAACGTTCATCTTGCTGGGACTAACAGATGATCCAAATCTACAGATATTCCTATTTATTTTTTTGTTTCTAACCTACTTGTTGTGTATTTTTGGGAACCTGGCCATCATCATTCTCACCTTGGTGGATTCTCACCTCCAAACACCCATGTACTTTTTCCTCCGGAATTTCTCTGTGCTGGAGTTCTCTTTTACAGCTTTCTGCATTCCCAGATTCCTGTATGCAATGGCAACTGGGGACAATACTATAAGCTATAATGCATGCTTCACTCAACTGTTTTTTGTTTTCTTCTTCAGTGTGACTGAGTTTCTTCTCCTGACAGCCATGTCCTATGACCGCTACGTGGCCATCTGCAAACCCCTGCATTACATGACCATCATGAGCAACAGAGTCTGCATCAGGATCCTCATGGGATGTGTCATGCTCACTCTAATCATCATCACCCCACCATTTACTCTGCTCTTTGATTTCGAGTTTTGTGACTCTAACATCATAGATCACTTTGGCTGTGATGTAGGGCCCATGCTGAAGATCACCTGCTCCGACACAGAGTTTTTGGAGCACTTTGTCTTCATCTTGGCTGTGCTGACGCTTCTGTTCACATTAGGGTGTGTGACTATATCCTACACACACATCATCAGGACCATTCTCAGATTCCCTTCTGCTCAGCAGAGGAAAAAAGCTTTTTCCACTTGTTCTTCTCACATAATTGTGGTTTCCATCACTTATGGAAGCTGCATCTTCATCTACATTAAGCCATCTGCAAAAGAAGGCGTGGCTATGAATAAGGTGGTGGCATTGCTCATAACCTCAGTTACTCCAGTCATGAACCCCTTCATTTACACCCTGAGGAACAAGCAGGTGATACAAGCTTTCAAAGACATGACCAAAAGGGTTGACTCAACCCACGGAAGTAAGGGCCTACCAGATGAAAGATAAAAATCACATAATAAGTCCTTTTATGTGTTTCATTTTCAACTTACTCTACTTTAGTCATGCTTTTGAAGTGACACATCGAATTTCAGCCAAATCTAGAATATGTTTTTGATACACGATAGTAATCTTCCTTAGTTCATTCTTTTCCCAGAAATGCATAGGAGTAAATTTTCATAAGCATTTATAAGACAGCTGTGAATACTCACTGAACCATGAAATGTCAACAGCATCACTATACTGACTTGTTGACTATTCTTGCAGTGATGAATATGACCCGACATGTGGCTCAAAGTCCACAGGAACAACAGCCATTGCTGTCTATGTCTGCAGGATAGACCATGTGGTTGCCCTGTTTGAAAAAACTCCTCATTTTGCGCTTCCCGCTTTCCAGAGAGCTATACATGTTTACTAAAATCTTCCTCAGATTCCTTTTGCTTAAAACTTGTACAATATCTTGTGATAATAGTCCAAATTCCATCTTGATAGGATTTCATGTTCCTGTCATCGTTGTGGGTGCACCTGTGTAAATCTTTGTGCCTTTGTTGCTCTTTTCAGAAAGCTTAATAGGCCTCAAGGAGTTAATGGCATGGACAAATTATAAAGGACAGCTTACATCAAATTGTGTTCTCATCCAGATTATTCACTACTGTTTTTAAATTAGTTTCTAAATGTGCTGAAGCTTCTGAGTTTACCACAATCTCATTTGCTGAGTTTTGTTCTTGCTGCGAGGGCACTGGGGGCCTTGTCCAGGAAGTCATCCCTCACACCCATGTCTTGGAGTGTTTCTCCTACAGTTTCTTCCTGTGACCTCATAGTGTCAGGTGTTTGATCCGTCTTGATTTGATTTTGTGTATGGTGAGAGATATGGATTGACATACATACATCCAGTTTCCATATGAATGTTCAGATTGTTTTTCTAATTCTGTCAAGAGTGTCAAGAGTGTCATTCTAGAGTGCTTTAGTTAGTATAGACATTCTAATGATACTGATTCTTTTTTATTCATTTTTAGAGATTTCATTTATTTGGGAAGCAGAGTCACACAGAGAGAGAGAGACAGAAAGGTTTTCCATCCTCTGGTTCATTCCCCACATGGCTGCAATGGCCGGAGTTGAGCTGATCTGAAGCCAGGAGCTAGGAGCTTCTTCTGGGTCTCCCACACAAGTGTAGGGGCCTAAACAGTTGCGCTGTCTTTCACTGCTCTCCCAGGTCATAAGCAGGGAGCTGGATCTGAAGAGGAGCAGCCGGGACATGAACTGGCACCCATATGGCATGCTGGCGCTGCAGGTGTACACTTAGGCTACTGTGCCACAGTGCTGGCCTTGACATTGATTCTTCTAATCCATGATCAAGGAATGTCTTTCCATTTTTTGTGCCTTTGATCATTTCTTTTTTTAAAAAAAGATGTATGTGTTTATTTGAAAGGCCGAGTTACAGAAAGTTCTATCCTGTTAAATATTTTGGAATAGTTTTGAAAAATATTGGAGATAGTTCCTCTTTAAATATTTTGTAGGATGTAGTAGTAAAACTACTAGATCTTGCACTTTTCCTTGATGGGAGACTTTGATTACTAGTTCAATCTCATTGTTTGTTACATTGTTTGATAAGTTATAAGTATCCAAGAATTTATCCATTATTTTCAAGGTTTTCCAATTTATCAGCATATAGCTTTTCACATTCTTTATGATCCTTTGTGTTTTGGTAGTGTCAGTTGCAATGTCTTTTTTTCATTTCTAATTTTATTTATTTGAATTTTTCTTCTTTGTCTTTGTTAGTCTTGGTAGAGTTTATTTATTTTGTGTATCTTTTCAACAAATCAGCTTTTCTCTTGAACTTTTAAAATTGTTTTTATGTTTGAGTTTCATTTATTTCTGCTCTGATCCTTATTATTTCTCACCCTCGTTGAATTTGGGTTTGATTTGTTCTTGTTTTTCTAAGTCTTTGAGATGCATCATTAGATCTTTGATTTGAGGCATTTTTCTTTTTGTAGTATAAGTGCTTACTATTATACATTCCCTCTTAATACTGTTTTTGTTGGATCTTATAGGTTTTGACATGTTGTGTTTTCATTTTCATTTATTTAAAAAAAGCTTTTTAAACCTATTAATTTCTTAATGACCCATTGATCATTCAATAGCATATTGTTGGGGCCTGCGCTGTGGCATAGCAGGTAAAGCTGCTGCCTGCAGTGCCAGCATCGCCTATGGGCGCCAGTTTGAGGCCTGACTGCTCCACTTCTGATCCAGCTCTCTGCTCTGGCCTGGGAAAGCAGTAGGAGATGGCCCAAGTTCTTAGGCTCTTGCACCCATGTGGGAGACCTGGAAGAAATCCCTGGCTCCCGGCTTCAGACCAGCACAGCTCTGGCCATTGAGGCCAATTGGGGAGTGAACCAGCAGATGGAACACCTTTCCCTCTCTCTCTCTCTCTGTGTCTCTCTCTGCCTCTCCTCTCTCTGTGTAACTTTTTCAAGTAAATAAATAAATCTTCAAAAAAAGCAGCAAAAATAGCATATTGTTAAATTTCCAAGTGTTTATGAGTGTTCCATTGTTCTTGTTGTTGATTTCCAGTTTTATTCCTTTATGACAATATATATGGTATGATTTCAATCTTTTTAAACTTACTGAGACTTGATTTCTGGCCTAATATGTGATCTAACTTAAAAAATGTTCATCTGCTGGTGAGAAGAATGTATATTCTGTAGCCTTGGATGAAATGTCCTCTAATGTCTGTTAAGTCCTTTCACTCTATAGAATGTTTCAGCTCCTATGTATCTTTACTGATTTTATGTCTGTACGATCTGTCCATTGAAGACAGTAGGGTGTTGAAGTCACTCACTATTCTTGTATTGGAGTCTATCTGTCCTTTAAGGTATCTATCTAGGTGGTCTTGTGTTGGGTACACATATGTTTATGATTGTTATATCTTCTTAATGCATTGAGCTGTTTATCACAATGCATTGTCCTTCTTTATCTTTTTTCTGGAGTTTTTGACTTAAAGTCTGTTTGAATCTGAGATCAGGATAGCTACTTCTATTCGTTTTTGTTTTCCATTTCCTGATATGTCTTTTTTCCAGCCCTTCACTCTCAGTCTATGTTTGTTTGTGAAGTGAGTCTCTTGTAGGCAGGATATTGTGGGATCTTGCTTTTCTATCCATTCAGTCATCCGAAGCCATTTGGCTGGAGTATTTGATCCAATTACATTCAAAGTTAGTATTGGTAGGTAAGAAATAACACCTTTCATTTTGCATCCTGGATCCTGTTTAGATCTGCTATGTGAGTGAATTAGGTTTTGTCATGATGTTTACTTCTAATGCAGGATCCCCCTTCAGCATTTCTTGCAAGGGTTATGGTAGTGGGGGATTCTCTCAGTTTTTGCTTAACTGGGGAAAATTTTATTTCTCCTTCACTCTTTTTTTTTCTTTTGGAACAGAAAGTATCTTCATTACTAAAAGATTAACAAATTCATGGACACTCACTTTCTGAGGCCTATCCAAACACCTCCATCAAAGGTTGCCTTCGTTTGAGAAGTATCAATATATGTTCAGTGCTGAGACTTCTTGTAGCACTTACAGTATATACAAAGCAGCGTTAGACTACTGTGGTTCCCATTTGAGAAACAGAGATTGAAGCTTTTTGCTACAACCTGTCAATTTAGCATTTCAGCTAACACAGTGACAATTATTCATTTCCTAGTTTTCTTCTGAAACTCAATTAACTGGCTATCATTTATGTACTTGGAATAATGCCATGTGTTCTTCCTTATGATAGTAAATTTTAAAATCTAAATACTTAATATCATGGAAATTTTTGCATTTATTTGAACATGTGTTCATCATATAAATACATACAAATAGTGTATTCATACAACTTATATTATGTATTCATCAATAATGAAGTCTTACTGGATATAAGCTATCTCTCACTCATATTCACATTTTATATTATTTCATTCAGACTCATATTTAACACACATTCATAGTTTATACAAAATAAAGAAGGAGATGAGCTTATAAAACATTATCATAAAGTGAATGCCAGTAGCACATGTTGAAATGTACGATACAGTGAAAATGATAATTTTGAGCAGATGTATATTCATAAGTAAATGCATTTGGAAGCGATTTTTGAAGCTCAACTTTCAGCTTTAGAAGAGTAAAACAAACTCTGAAGTAGACACAAAATTAATCTAATGATGTGGCCAAAAATAATGGAAAACAAAGACTTAATATGAGGGGAATTTAGAAAGGCTCTTGCTCCAAAGAACTAACTAGGTTAACATTTCTGATAAATTTGTTCAAAAATAAAGGAGGAAATAATATTAAAAATGGAATGCAATTTTGTAAATAGAGCTGAGATCACAAAGACAAAACACTATAAAGTGTTCTTATAAAGTAACTCTACATTTTTAGAAAAATAATCAAATTCAGTAATATAATCTGATGGTAAAAAATAAAATCCTAGATGGTGCTGTAAGATTTAGACAACTAATCAACAGATTAAAACCTTTCAACAAAGCCAACATCAGTTTCAAGTCCTACCAGATTCTCAAAGAACAGATAATTCCAGGGAACTAAAAATATTTTCAGCCAGGAAAAAGTTGAGTACTCCTTAATTTATTTTATAAAATGAGCATAACCTCCAACCCAACCATGTCTCATCAGCACAAAATGGAAAACTTGAAGATAGTCGATTTTTGAAAAATCATATGCCAAAATTAAATAAAACATTTGCAAATTGAACTTTTATCTGTTTAAAATATCAGCAAATATATCATATCTTTTTATTTCTCCAAGAGACAAAGGAGATAAATTGTGTGCTTAGTACATATGATGCATTTTATTTACTAGACTTGATGATTTACTGCATGTTAAATTCAACACACATTCGTAGTAACTCTTAGAAATCTATGCACAGAAGTTATTCTTGAAGTTTCTAAGTGGACTCTAATTAATTGACTCCTACTGGTTTCATATGTTAAGACATAAAACGATCTGGAAATAAAGTTTATGGCAATAAGTAGAAGAATGAGCACTCAATCTCCAAGTATTTAGAAAGTGGGTCACATGAACGGACAAAACACCCATCAGGCTGAAGCGCCAGAGCCCAGGGAGAAATTACTTGTGCTATGGTAGCTGGTCTGACTAGACATTGCAATTATGCTACTTCTTTGATCTCTGCTAAAGCATCCCTCAAGCAAGGAGAACAGTGCAAAAGAGCTACACCTGAGTTTTCATCGGACACATGGCTCTGCACCTGACTAGTTGCTGATTGTATTGTTGCCTTGTCCTTTCCCCAAGGACACAGTCCCAATGGGTAGCAGTTTCGTTTTTCCTCACAAAATTTCTTCAAGTTCACATCACGCTAGGTTAATTAGGGACAGTTGAACCTGGGATCCCAAGGGGTACCTTTTGTTTCTTTAATCAATGATTCCTAACCATCTACTGGGACCAAGCAGATATAACTTACACCACTATTCATATAGAATTTTCAGGGACATCCGTCTTCCTCCACAGGTCAGGATACTGCCTTTGCCCAAAACAGAGAGTTTTCTCCTCGACAACGATCTGCATTTCTCTCAACTAAGCAGAATGAGCATTTTTCCTAGTGCTAAGTCAGACATTACCCTTTATTTGGCATCCTGAAGAGACTTGTTGAAGGTGAAGGTCATTTGGGAAAGTCCCCAAGCTTTGTAGGCAATGAAAACCGAGAGTTCTCTGCCCATTCACAGACAGTGCATGCACTGGGGGGCTACGTGAGAAACACTGTACACATCATAACTAGAAAAGCTGCTACTCGACTTTGAAATACCTTCAGTATTTTGTGATCAGATGGCTCACAGAAGCCATGG